CGTTGTGCCGATGATCTTAGCAGAGTTGTACCAAGCCCTGAGTGAGGTTAGGGAAGGTGTCAGATATTTTGATGGAAGTAACCTTTTGCTAAAATTGTGGATGATGGAGCATTTGCACACCGCTTCTTTACTTTATTCCATCGACCGTGCCTTGAGGAATCGGGTGGTATGTATCGAGCGTAGGATGAAATCTCCTAAGTTTACATACCCAGTAGGCATCACAGCTTGGATTGAGTTCCTTGGTTTGAGGACAAATGGGAATGTTTTGTGGGCTTACCTTTAGTTACCTTTAGATGATATCTTGGTAGGATGCCTCATGCAGCCTTTCCTAATGCTGATAGGACTTAAGTGTGTCAGGTCATACATTTCCGTTAGGGTAATGCGACAGTTGGGCAGGAGACAAGAGGAGCCTCCAATTTTGAATCTTCAGAGGCACATCATGAATTTTAGCAAAAAGGCGGCTGACGAAATCAAGTACGTGCAATACTGGAACAATGCAAAGAGGATGAAGAAAATATATTAGTAGAGGACGTTGGCAGGCCCGAGTGTACTCAGGAGTACTTGATCTGGTTGCAGTCCGTCTCACCAAGGGTCAGCACCCCATTGCCAACATAGCTTAGGAGTCAGGCAGTTCAGGCATATGATTTTGAAGAGGCATCGGACCAAGATCCTTGGGATAAGCTTGAGTTGATAAAGTCTCAGTTAGCAGGATTGGCAGCAAACATGGAGCAGCATAGCCAGTATTTGTTTAGGGTTGGCCTTCAGGATGCGGGGGCACACACCAGGGTCGTTATTCCCAGCATCGGTGTTTCTTTACGAGGCATGTTACAGAGTTTGAGCATGACGGACAGCCCGGGACCATCCCAGCCGGGGGCATCACATCCAGGAGTTGATTGAAGAGGATTTCTGTTATTATTCACATGTTTTGACTCTGTTTATGTCGTCTTCTAGCCTTGTCTAGTAGTACTAAAGGTAGTGTCAGAGTCTGTCATAGTATAGTTGAGACAGTCAGTCTTTCATTCTCGTACTTCCTATTTTGTAAACTGAAATTTCTTTTTTTTTAAAAAGGATTTTTATTTTATTTTCCATCACTTTTCCAGAACTACGCTTGGTCTGATTCATGAGGGATATGATACGTAGGCAACCTATATCAGGTTCGATCAATTATTTTTTTAAAAAAAAAACTGATAGAAAAGAAAAGAAAAGAGTAAAAAAAAAAGAGAAAGGGTGGGAAGAAAATGATAAGAGGTGCTAAGAAAAGAAAGAGAAGCAAGGATTAAAATGAGAAAATTGGGATGATGCCATATGACCCTGCGACCCTCAGAACCATTTTAGAACCGCTAATTGTTGTTAGGTGCATTGCACGTAATGTGATATTATTATTTGATGAATGCCCTAACGCTAATATGGTAGTTTGGGTTATTGTCCTCTGTTATCTTTATTCAATTTTAGGAAGGTGGTTAGTTTGTTGGCATCCTGGCAAGTCATCCATACAACACCAGGTCAAAGCGCCAAACAGTCATGGCTAGCAAAGAAACAGACACAAAAGTTGTAGACTCACCAAGGGAGATTATTGAGTGGGAATCGAAACTTCAAGAGGAGGTCCGGAGGTTGAAGCATCATATGGCGGAAATGTATCAAGACCGGATTAAGGGACACCCTCCACCCTCGTTCCCTACCAACTACACAAAAAACCCTGCTTCCATTCCACCACTCTCTCAATCTCAGATGCCCAATACCATTGATCTTTCCCCACAACACGCACCGGGCTTTACCCCTTACCACAACTACCCCGGCACTTCGGCCCAAACTTTTCATGCTCCACCAGCTAAAACAACCTCGTACCCTGCTCCGACATCTGCTCCTATTTTTGTACCCCCTCCACAAGCTACCCTCCACCGATTCTCTAGTGAGACCGCATTCCACGCTCCAGATACCTACTACTATGCACCGAAACCCACCTTCAAAGTCCCAGAACCTTACTCTTACACTCCCCAATTTGAGCCTCATGTTGAAACTGACAAACCACCCAAGAACGCAGAGCAAAAGGAGATGTTTAGGAAGGTAAAGAGTCTGGAGCAATCATTGAGAAATATGCAAGCGTTGGGAAACCAGGTGAGTGTGGCCTATAAGGATTTGTGTATGTTCCCCGATGTCCAACTACCTGTCGGGTTCAAGATGCCCAAGTTTGACTTGTATGACGGGCATGGAGATCATGTAGCTCATCTAAGGGGTTATTGCAATAATATGAGATGCGACGGGGGAAAAGACGAATTACTAATGGCATACTTCAGCCAAAGTCTAAGTGGGGCAGCTTTAGAATGGTACACCCGCTAGGACGCCAGCAGGTGGTACACTTGGGACGATATGGCTCAGGCCTTTGCCCAGCACTTCCAGTACAATATAGACATTGTTCCAGACTGCCTATCTCTGACCAAGGTGGAAAAGAAACCCAGTGAAAGCTTTAGAGAATATGGGTTCTGATGGAGGGAGCAAGTTGCACGAGTCAATACTCCGATGGAAGAAGATGAGATGGTTGAATACTTTCTTCAAGCCCTGGAGCCCACTTACTATGGCCATTTGATCTCAGCCATCGGTAAGTCATTAAATGATGTGGTAAAGATGGGAGAAATGGTGGAAAAGGGGCTCAAGTCGAGCAAGATTATGAGTTATTCTGTCATAAAAGCAACCACCCAAGCAATCCAGAGTGGTACCAGAAGTTTGCTAGGAAATAAGAAGAAGGACGATGTCGCCATGGTTGTCTCTAGACCATGGCATGGCCAGTGGGGTTCACCTCATCAGTACACCCATCCTCGAACCCGAACTCAAACCTATGACCAAGCTCCATATAGTCCACCCCAACATTATTTTCCCCCACAAAACCCCCAATACTCAGCCAGCCCAGCCCAATACCATGTTCACCATGTACAGTCATATGCTCAACCCCCTCCTTACCCGCAATGGCATGCTCTAGCTCCGCAGAATATCTACCCAGCTCCACAAAATACCTATCCACCTCCACAACCCTACCAAAACCCCAATGGTTCAAATTTTCGACCAAGGCTAGAGTATAGAAGAGAGAGGCAGCAGCGGAAACAAACTTTTACCCCGCTTGGAGAGTCCTATGCTAGTTTGTTTCAAAGGTTAAGGCAGTTAGACGTCTTGAGGCCAATTGAGTCAAAGATACCAAATCCCCCTCCAAACTTTTACCCCGCTTGGAGAGTTTGCGTGTTTGTTGATAATGGGATGGATACGAGGCGAAGGCATCTTCACTTTCTTTAATCTTTCATGTTCTGATTTTATACTTGTCAATGAATGTAGTTCTGATTAGTTTTTATTTTTTGTGATTTGAAGTTCCAAAAATATATTTCCCGATGAAGTAAATAAGCTTGCGGAAGCTTTTACTTTTGGCTCGTGTCATGTGACCACGAAGGATTGGTTCCACTCACTTGTATATTGTGGTCGACATTTGATTGAAACGATATTTAATCAATTTCTGTTCTAATGCCTTTTTTTATTTGTTGCATATCTTTATTGTTTGAGGCCCCCATAGCTTTGTATAATCACAGTATAAAATTGTACAACCTTGTATAAATATGTATACATCTATATAATAGTGTATAAATTTCTATATTTAAAAAATCTGATAGTAATGGTTGTTCTATTTTATTTGTTGTCTCAGCACTTGGATGTCCTCTTTTATTATTTGAGGAAGAGGGGAAAATATGGGCTGAGTGTTGCCAAGTAAACCGACTTTGCCTTTGGTAACAAAATCAACTCCCTGTATAAAGATTCAAAGTGAATGAAGATCCTTCAGTAATTCCTGAAGGGCATGAGATAGAAGAGTACATTAGAGGATATTATTGTGATGCAAATGTACCGTGGCACACTGTTGACCACGTCTTATTCCCTATCTATGTGAAGAGCGGAAGAGCAAAATTGGGCCATTGGGTTTTGGGGTTGTTTACGTTCATAGATAGGTGCATCCACATCTATGACTCTAACCGTGGAGCTATTAATGATAGGCTTGCTTTGGATATTGCATTACCTTATGCAATTCTGATACCTTACTTCTTCAAGAGTTCTGATTTTTATGTCGAGAAGAAGGGCATTGATTGGAACAATGGTGCATATATCGATAAATCCCATTATGATGCTTTGCAGGTTAATCTGGTTAATAATGTGCCCCAACAGATCCAATGGTAGGTTAATCTCAATTGTTTTACTATTTTACTATTAGTGTACCTATTTGAATCTGATTTGTTTCTTTTTAATTACAGTGATTGTGGTGCTTTTGTTGCTGGCTTTGCTGAGTATTTCATCCTTGGTAAGGAAATTCAAGAAGATAATTTTGACATTGAGATACTTCGCACCAGGTCGGGATCTCTATTGTGGGATTATGGAAGGAAAAAACAACAGTTTGATGCAATTAGTGGCGATGAAATCATAGGGAGACTTTTCAGGAAGAGGGGACGACCGAGAAAGTAGTTCTGTTTTTTCCATTTTACTGTAGATTTTCTATGTATCAAGAGTTGTTGCCTAGTTTTGTGTAAGTACTATTCTGCTACTTGTGAGATAACCTTAAAGGATATTATAGATGTTTTTATTTTTGTGTAATTTGTGGTAGTCATTACACATTGTGGCTGTGAATGAATTACATTTTAATGAATATTTCAGTTGTTTTTGTCCTTTAACGAAGTATGTATTTTCATTATGGTTGCAGTTCTGTTAATGTAGCAGGGTTTATACATATGTATACAATAATATACATAGTTATACAAATTTATACAAACTTATACTCTCATTTATACATTTGTATACATATAATACCATTGATTGTTTGCAGTTCTGTTTTGTATTTCTACAATCTATCAATATATTTAGTACCATTAAAAACAGCAAGACACTATTATTGGATAATCAAAACATGTATAATGAAACATCTCAATTGCTTGTGAAACTTAACTACTCAACATTTGTAACTCTATTGTTTGTGAAACTTAACTACTCAACATGACAACAAATGTAATAGGAAGTGTTATGTTTCCAACTATTTGTTTTGGTCGATTCCTACATGTTTTTCTACTGTGACCACCTTGTCCACACACAGAACATGAAAGGTGCCACTTAGACTCTTTCTCTGAAGCAGGTTTGAGTCTTTCCTTTCTTGGCCTTCCTGCATTCCTTCTCCCTTTAGGTGGTAGGACCACATCTTCCATCACCTCTGTTGGGATTACCCATAAACTCTCATCTGGCATCGAATTCACTGGAAATTCATAAGTTTTAAGGAGTTTATCCTTTTTGTAGTAAAAAGAGCAATACTGGCCAGGTTTCAGCTGTTGGTTCTTCAAAACTGCCCAAGCATACGGACATGGAAGTTCATCCATTTGAAATTTTCCGCAACTGCATGTTCCCTCTTCAAGGCACACTATGGTTCGCCTTACCCCTTCAAACACAGTATATAACTGCTCCGTAGTAGGCCTCACCTGCAAAAGTTTTTTTTTTAAAAAAAAGTTAAAAAACATTATACATTATTATACAGAGTTATACATCCTTATACAAGCAGTAAAATGCAAGTCAGCATTGCCAAACATCATTATATTTGATTCATTTTACCGTCTTCGATGCAATCAGATTTTCCCGAAGGAGTTTGTCGTACTTTTTGCCAAGCTCTGTAGATGTCTCCATTGCACTTTTTCTGTTTTTGTTGTTCTACTATTGTAGCAAATTTGTCATGTACTCCAACAATCGCATTACTGGTAACTCTCTAGCATCCTTGTTAGCTGCATTAATTGACTCTGCAATATTGGAAGTCATTACTATCGACCTTTTCACTTTGGAATATGCCCTAGACCACCTTTCTTAGCCAATTTCGAACAAGTAAGGCTGCACCCTCAGATCAATTTTGCACATCTCTGTCATATGGTACTCAAACTTCTCTATCATGTAAGCTCTAGCCAAAGCAAAGAAGATGTCTTTCAATTGATTGTGATGTTTCTTGAATGTGCGCTTTACATTCTGCCACAAGTGAAACATACACATACAATGTGGTACTTCTGGGTACACAGCTTTTGTGGCATTGAAGATGCTTTCATTTCTATATGAAACTATACACATCCCTTCCCTAACTCCAAAAGTACACTTTATCTGGACAAAGAACCACTCCCAAGATTTGTTATTCTCTAAATCTACAATTGCATATGAAAGTGGAAGGATTTTTCCTGTTTATACAAAATAGATATTAGGATTCAGACAATTATACAAATCTTATACACAGTTATACACAATTATACAACTTTATACCAACTGCAAATTTTATAAAAACAGCATCTATGAAATCCTATACACCTTTATACATGAAACTACAACATTATACAAACTGCAGAAACAAGGTAGATGCAGTCAACTCACTAGTTCCATCATGTGTGCAAGAAGTCAATATAGTACCCTTATATGCTGCTTTAAGGAAACTTCCGTCAATAATCATTATTGGTTTGCAATGCTCCCAGCCCTTGATAGATGCATTTAGCAAAACATAAGCATAAAGAAAGCATCCATCTTCTGATTTGTGCAACTTTGTAACCGTTCCTGGAATTATTTGCTCCAACATATAAAAATACTTTGGCAACTCCTTATATGAATCACTCGGACTCCCTCTTATCATTGCCATTGCTATCTCTTTAGCTCTCCATGCTTTCATGTAGCTCACTTCAATCTCATGTTGCTTTTGTATGTACTCTATTATATCATTTGCGATGTAAACTTTTTTTTGGATTAACATACTTGTCCTTGACTATACTAGCAATTACACCCGAAGTAGCTTGACGTTGTGTTAAGTATCTTTCACCATTGCCGCATGTGTGATTATTATTGTAACTTCTCACTTTGAATATGTTTGCCTTGAAAACGACAGAAGATTTGAAACTCCAAGCACAATTGTCATCCACACACATAAGGTGATACCTAGGATTAAAGATCATTCAACTTCTAAATACACTTGTATACAAAAACATAACTACATATATACTAATTTTAATACCTATATACAAATATATACTATTTTATACATATTTATACATATATATAACAGAATATACAATTAATGACATACCTTGTTGCACTTGATCTCTTCACCTTGAATTGGAACCTCTCGCGTACAACCAAGTTCTTCATCACATTCATAACTGTCTCTTTATCTTTATAAACTTGATCCTCCTCAACAAATTCGTTCAACATATTATCTATTATACCCGTGTTTTCACTAAGTTTCATGTTTTCAATCAATTCGATATCAGGCATAATCTCAGTGCTATCAACTGTGGATACATCTATAGAATTGGAACTTGTAGCAACCAAACAACTTGAACTTGTAGCAACCAAACAACTGAAACTTGTAGAAACCAAATGATTATCATAAATCTCTTTCTCTATCACAAACAAGGGATATTCAGTGAAATTCAAGCTTTTCTTCATTAATTCGATATACACCTTAACAAATGTATCGTTGTAAATCAGGATCGGTGGCAAACCATCATTTGGGGGAAAGTTAATCTCTATTGTGTTTAACTCACTACCGATCCTAATCTGTTCTGAAATAGCTGCAACTAAATTGTTGTAGCAGAATGTCGACTCGATTATTACACAATCGCTGACGAAATTGATAAACTTGTTTTCTTCCCATTCACCACTATGAAGAACGTAAACTGGAAAAAGCTCCATTGAACAAAAAACTGAAATCAAAATTGCAGCAAAAATGAAAATTGCGCTGATTTGTAGCAAAAAAATTGAAGAAATTCGAGATGAAAAAGAAATTCTAGGGTTTTTGGAGCCGCATTGATCGCAAGATCTCATTTTTCTAGTATTTGGGGAAGAAGATTGGAAAGAATCAGAGAAAATCCAGTTGAAACAAAGAAAATCCCGCTTCTTACTCCCAAAAAACGGAAATAACGCCCTTTTTTCTGTCACGACCCAAAATCCACTAAGGGTCGTGATGGCGCCAGACACCACTGTCACACAAGACAACAACAATTTACTAGTAATTTTTTCCTTTTTTTGTTTTGAAATCAGTTCCTTTAAACAAATAAATAATAAGTAATAAACTCCACTAAATAAATGCGGTTGTCTTTACAAAATTTAACTACTGAAAAATCCTGTGATCATCCTAGAACCCGGTGTCACAAGTACATGAGCAATTTCTAGGAAATAATGTAATACAATAACTGTCCGGGATACAAATTGGACAGAAAGGAAAATACAATACTCTGAAGGAGACTCTACTGGCTGCGGGTCGTCTCGAGAGCTGCAGCACACCTAAGTCTCCGTATCAACCATGCCATTGCCACTAAGCCACTGGCCACATATGAACCTGTGCAACAAAAATGCACAGAAGTGTAGTATGAGTATGAAAACAACGTGTACCCAATGAGTATCCCATCTAATCTCGAAGAAGTAGAGACGAGAGGTCGACTTCGACACTTACTAGTGGTCCAATAATGTTATCTCAATAATATAGTAAATCGGGGATTTTTATAAACATGATTGTAATTCAATAGAATGAATCAAGTAAACAATTCTTTCTTTTATAGGAAATTTCCAAATTCCATTTCGTCGTTTATACATTTATTCTCAAGTCGGGAAGGAAAACATCACTTCAATAAATTCCAAGGCAAGCAATACAAGCATGCGCAAATCATATCGAGGTCGTACGGCCTGATCCAACAGAAATGTAAAATATACACTACCGAGGGTCGAACGGCACGAACCATAGATGTATCTATTACCCCGCTCGTGAACCATACTGTGATGCGGTCAAATTTAAATAAACAATCACCCTGATCGCGAATCATACATGCAACACAGGTACACATAGAAATACATGCTCAAACAGCCAATTAAGAATTTATCGGCGAACATTTATAAAAAAAACAATTCCCTTTTAACAATTTTATAAAAATGAAGTTCAATCCTTTTAGAAATTCAGTTACGAATTCGATAGGATTTAAGGAATTCATCTATCAATAAGGTTACAAATATTCCAAGTATAGCATGCTTTTGGGTCCTAGACTACCCGGACTTAATAATAGTAGCTACGCACGGACTATCGTCACCTCATGCGTACGTAACCCCCACAAATAGGAGCACATAACCAATTATTTCACCTATGGGGACAATTCCCTCTTACAAGGTTAGAAAGGAGACGCACCTCGCTCCGAGGTTCCATAACCGGTTTTCAAGCCCTTCCGATGACTCAAATCGATGCGCAATGCTCCAAAACTAGCCAAGAAATGAGAAAATCCATAAATATAGGCTCTAATACTTACAACAATTCAATTTAGATAAATTCCTAACTCCGCTCGAAGAGTTGACAAAATCTCCCTCGGGCCCACATGCCCGGATTCCAAAAAAAACTCACAAAATCCGATAACCTATTCCGATACGAGTTCAACTATACCAGTTTTATCAAATTCCGATAATGAATCGACCTCCAAATCTAGATTTTTTTAAAAAAAGTTTACAAATTTTCTCCAATTTCTTCCATTTGATTCACTAATACTTGATGAAAATAACCATGGAATCATTAAATATAATCCCTTTTGGATATAGAACACTTACCCCAATCCATATTGTGAAAATTGCCTCAAAAATCGCTTTAATCCGAGCTCCATAGCTCCAAAAATGAGTAAAAATCTCGGACTGCTCGATTTATACATTGTCCAACATTTCGCACCTGCAGTTACTGTTCATGCACCTGCAGTTACTGTTCACAAAGGTGCAATACTGTTCACGCACCTGCGAAAAACACAACAGCTGCCCAGAAATTTCAGCAGCTTTTAATTTCACTAAAAATGCTCTAACTCCATCATACGAANTTCCTTCAATCGAAACTCAATTCGGAGCTTGTTTACTCAATGTGATACTAATTTCGCTCGTTAAACAATTAACTCATGTGTTTGCGCTAAAAACTCAATCGCGACTTGATGAAATTAGACCAAACTTTCCAGATCACTCCTATAATTCATTATCAAAATCCCTGAAGTCTTGTAATCGAGTTTCGATCTCTAGAACTAAAAATAGACCTTTGGATCATTACATGTTTGTGCTCAAACGCCAAACTCTTCCAAAAACTCCTCCAAAACTCATCCGAGCCCCATGGGATCCCAACAAAGTATACTAACAAGTCCCATAACATGACACGAACTTAGTTGATGCCTCAAATTACATTGAACAACACTAAAACATAATTCGCACTCCAATTCAAGCTTAATGAACTTTTGAACTTCAAACTTCTTTATTCGATGCCGAAACCTATCAAATCACGTCCGATTGATCTCAAATTTTGCACGCAAGTCACATTCGACATTACGGACCTACTCCAACTTCCTGAATTGGATTCCGACCCCGATATCAAAAAGTCCACTTCCGGTCAAACTCCTCAAAAACCTTCAAATTTCTATCTTTAGAATGACCCCAAAATGACCCACGGACCTCTGAATTCACTTCCAATCGCGCTCTCAATACCAGAATCACCATACGGATCTATTCCCAGACATGGAATCCCAAACGGACATCAATAACACTGAAATGTACTTCAACCCAAACTTATGAAATTCTTCTAAAAATGCTAACTCCCACCATTGGTGCCGAAACGTTCCCGGGTCTTCCAAAACCCGAACCGGACATACGCCCAA